CTTAAATCAGAGAGTTTATGAGGCAGATTAAATCCAAACCCATTGTGTTTAACCTACACAATATTTGCTTTGCGTTTGTTCATCTAATCTGTCTCAATTTGAGTGCTTTGGAAGGATCAACTTTTGAGTTTTTTAGTTGTACTGACCCTACCACTGTCTGTCTGTCTGTCTCTCTTTTTGAGACAAGGTCTTGCTCTATAGCCCAGGCTAGCCTCAAACTGGGGCCAGCCTCCTGCTTCAGCCTCCTGCTTCAGCCTCCTGCTTCAGCCTCCCAGATGCTGGGAGGTGGCACAGTCCCCTCACTAGCTGTCTGATGTTTAGGTATTTAATTTTTTTACTTTGCCTTCAATGCTTTAGGAGAGAAGGAATATATAAAATGATAAATTATGTTGAATATAGTTATTAATCTATACATTCATTTCTAATGTTGAACCTGTTTATATTATGTATTTTAATGTACTGAAAATATGTTTTGTTTTCAGTTTTGAGGAATTTGGTTTTATTGCAGAAAATGGGGGTCTCTTTTAGGTCTACCCAGAGAGAAATGAGGAAGCCTTGAGGTTGCTTTTTTTCTGGTACCGGGACTCAAACTCAGGACCTTACACTTGTCAGGCAGTGCTTGTGCCGCTGAGCTACACCCCTTGCCCCCTGAGGTTTTTTTGAGAATCTAATTTCTCCCATTCTAATTTATGGCTGCTAGGGAGCGATGGTTTATGCTTTGCCTCTTCTCGGTTTGCTTTCCTGTTTGTGTACACCTGTACTATTTCTTTCTGGGGTTTCATAGTCAAATTCCTGGAGACACGGGATCCACTACGGAGAGTCCAGGCTTGCTCACTGCAGTCTGCCTATGAGCTGGGCACAGGATCCTATCTGTCCAGGGATGCACTGGCCAGAGCTGCGGTGTGCATGGTAACTGCTACACGAGAAGCTGCCTTGGCTGGGCATGGCGGTCTATGCCTGTCATCCCCGCTGAGGCAGAGGATTGTGAGCTATGCCTGGGCTTCAAAGTAGAACCCTGGGTCGAAGAAAGAAGAAAAGAAAGAAAGAAAGAAAGAAAGAAAGAAAGAAA